TTCTTCTACAAGGAGAGGTTTTTTGCACTACATTTATTTCAACAAATGATGATGAGATTTTACTTATTGTACGATAATTGTATTGTGAAACAAATCTACGACTAATTTGAACATAGCTCTGACATACTAAGCTACTATTTGGTATACTATTGGTATGATAAATGCTTGAACACTTACCTTCAAACGTCCCCAAGTAGATATACGCCAACATAAGATTATAACTATTAAATGTTTGCTTACCTAATAATAATCCATTTCATGTAATAGTAATGGAAATGTTGTGTTTGTACTCAATGTAACAGAAGGTAGGTATTTAGGTATTTCAAGTCAGTGAAATTCTTAGAAAGTGTATTATTACGATTGATTTAGAATTTAATCGAATTATTTAATGAAGGTAATGTTTTATCTTTTTTACGATATTAATTATCGATATGTATAAAATTATGTTAAACTTTGTCCTATGTAAAATAGATAGAGAATGTCTTTTTCATTGATTTCTTTTTCCATTTTCTTTATTACAGAAAAACATAATAACTGGCGAAGCCCTGGCTGATAATAATATAATTATCTATTTCAAAAGTCATCGATGGAACAATTCTAACTTTCGTAACTTATACTAAATTAGTTATTATGTTTTTCGGCTTACTCACGTAAATATTTGACGAGGAACTCGACTAGTTTCAAGCCATGCTAGAGGCTCATATTCATGAGCAGCATTGCGCGACCCGCGACGTGTCGTCCGGCGGCAGTTACTCGTCAAATAATTATGTGAGTAACCCGAAAAACATAATAATTGATTGTGACGATTATATTGATTATCACTACATAGTATAAAACAAAGTCACTATCCGCCGTCTGTCTGTCCCTGTGTATGCTTAGATCTTTAAAACTACGGAACGGATTTTGATGCTGTTTTTTAATACATACAGTGATTCTTAAGAAAGGTTTATATGTATGATATCTACATGCATATTGCACCTGTGCGAAGCCGGGGCGGGTCACTAGTTATTTATAAACAGAGGTGTTTATATCTTTATAACAAAACCTCATTAGTCGAGGTGATCTTCATTAACTAATCTTTCATAATGGTCTCCTAAATGAGACTGGTTGGAGAATTGCACCTTAATTAAATGTTTGTCCTCTCCTGCCCTTTTCCAATTTGTTTGCGATGAAAGTTTTAGTTAAAGAGGAATAACCATTTGCCCTCTACAGTCCATTACGGTTACGGGGTTTTTATGATACTTCAGAGCTCTGTATTCCTAATTTTGAGTTGTAATTGCAGCCAGGGATAAATTTATATCTTTATACGTTCTCAGAGGTACCTAAGATTATTTTTAGTATGGTAAAATCTAGTCCGTGACGTTGTTACTAACTATAATTTTTCAACCTTTCATCTATGCTTTAGTATTTCTTTAATATAGTAGGTAGCATACGAGTTAAAAGAAATCAATTTCAACCCCCTCATTTGCTGATGTTAGTTAATTAATAAAATGTTTTACTAAGTGTAACAAATACTTTTTGAAAACCGCATACAAACCGGTCCAGCCAATCGCGAGATGAGGGCTGGTGGTGAAAATCAGCGCCGTAGACTCGAGCCTCCGTGCCCGGGTCACAGTATTAAGCTGAGCTCCAGCCTTTTGCGCTGCGACGCACCACCACTCTTTTGTGTTCCTGTATTCTTGTTGTGTGTCGTGGCGTAATAAATGGTTTTTCTTTCTTTCTTTCATAATCGCGCACAAACATACATACACACAAGTTGAACTGAGAACCTATTTCTTTTTTTGAAGTTCGTTAGAAACTTCCAACTCCTACGCTACTTTTCCTAATCCTTGAATAGAAGTGTTGGACGCAGTCTTGTGTCGGCGCTCAGAATAAATCTTTAATCTTCCACGTGGATCTCTTTCTGCACTTATTTTTGTTATATAAACAAACTTGTTGGAATGTGTTTTAATCTCAATACTATTTAAAATTGCTTCTAATTGTAACTAGTTACCATCTTTAAAGCTTATTTAAAAAAATCTCAGGAGTGAACTGTGTTAACCCGGTATATGGCAATAGGCTCACCCCTGTTACATGGGAGTCGTAGCATAAATAGTGAAAAGTGGGTGTTACATTGCAAAGTGGCATTAAGTTGCGTAATGCACACCTCTGTCTGCCTCTTCGGGGATAAAAGGCGTGATGTTATGTTATGTTATCTTTCACATTACAATGCTAATGCGTATTTTTTTTTTTAACTTTTTTTCATTTCTTTTATTTTTCAACTCTTGTAGGTACCTACTCAGATGTGTATTTTTTGCACAGATTGATATTATTGACAGCTAGCGATAGATAAATAGAATTTATTAATTCATTTACTCTCTTTCGATAAAGGTTATATCTGTCATTATCATTTTATTTTTCATCTAGCTAGAAAATGAGGGTAAATTGAATTTTGCATGATTAAACGAAGTAAATAAATATAACAGAATTTAATTTGAAAAGCTCTGCGATTTATGGGTGCGTATAAATAAACACGAACACTGACGATCACAAATTTTATTACAGATAAATGTACAAACATTAAATCATTTTTGAATTTACATGTTCATTTTAAGATACATTTACATATATTAAGTTGTTCATCGATTACTCATACAGAGTTTCTCTAATACACAATTCATACATAGCTAGCTTTATTTAATTCTCAATCTTATTCATCTAAAGTATTAACTATAAATTGGTAGTAGTTTTACACTCATAATTTTCACATAGATGACACATTATGAATAGTAATTACATAGAAAATAACGTCCTTGTATGTAAAATTTACGATATGCTATAAAATTTATGATACAAATAGCGCATTGTTTCCCAATTTCTTCCTTAATACTATATACTTAAATGCTATAATGTAATAATTAGTTATTTAACAATAATTCTTTAGAAGCCGACGTAGCTTTGGCAACACTTTAATATACTGGCTTAAATTATCTGTGACATACGTACAAAAAGTTTTTATTCTTGACTTGTTATAAAATCGCATAGTTACATATATTAATATTATACACAAATATCAATTTCTAATATTCTAAAGAAAACTCAGCGTTTCATAGTGAACTTTCCTAATTATATTAATTTAAAATATATTTAATGTTAAGTTGAGGAATTATATCCGAATTATGTTAATTTTAAGTAATAATTTTATTATTTTTTCATAATATAAAAATGTATTTTATACGCTATCACTAATCCATGCATCACATAATAAATATTGTTGCTATAATATATTACAATGGTCACAGGAACGTTAAATGCGTGCAGTTAATATTCAAAATGTTTTGTGTTCGGGCTCGAGTTGGTCGAGTTTGGTGTGGTGGCATTAGAGACGGTGTCTAGTCTGTTAGAGAGGGAGAAAGGGCCGTTGCTGAAAGAGTTGGGAGTGTGTGGACTATGAATGTCAGTTTTATGATACCCGTTATGGTTCGGAAGTATTGAGATGGTTGAAGTAGTAGCGTGGTTTTGTTTGATGTTGGGGCTGAGCGGTGACGAAGACGCAGGAGAGGCGGGAGAGGCGGGGACGGACGGGCCAGGGACTCCGTCTTCCTCGGGTAGGGTGCGCAGGCGCGGCAGCCTCCCCCGCCCCCCGCCTCACACTGGAGACTGATCGCCGCTTGCGCTCCCGCTCGTGATGTAATCCTGCGCAGTTCATTGCTACTTTCAAGTTTACTGCTAGCTATAATTATTTAACGTAGCCACTACAGTTTCATCAGCATATTTATCATTAAGTAGAATCAACTGGCTAGGACTGATGACACAACAGAGACTGAGGTTTGATATTACATAACAGGAAATGTTATCATTTACATACAAAAGGTAATTTTAAAGTGATAGATCCAAAACATATTGGTTTATTAAGGGCTCAACGGTATGGTACTCACGGTGTGCAGGTGCCTGCCATCGAGAGGAGGCAACAGTGATGTTCGTGGTACCAGCAATGTCGTGGTGGTTGTCTCCGACGCTGCCGACTCCCGTTTAGATGGGTGGCTGTACAACCTGCCCCACAGTCTTCTTGTTAACATCCGTATTCAAACACTCTCTGTGCATATACGCTAATATTTAAATAACTCTAACGACAGGTTTTCACAAAACATTCCAGGAGACAAACAGGAGAAACAAAAAAGATACAAAAACAATTATTAAAACACAGATAAAAAAATTAATTTAAAATCGGAAAATGAGAATTATTTGGTGTACCAAAAAGAAAAGAAAAGGCACTTCGTTTGAAAATGGAACAACGTCTGGAAGCTATCTATTCACAGATTTCGGGACATTTGACATATTTTATCTGTTAGATTATACTTCTAGGTATTAAACGCCCAAAAAGTAACGACAGTGACAGGTCTCACATGTGACAGCTTCGCTTTTATGTAAAGTATTTTCTTTTCTATGTTTTTAGAGGTATAATAACTATCGTGAGACATACTAAAATTAAGTAAAATCGCGGGTTACTCACGTGAATAAATTTGTTCTGAATTATAATGAATTCACGTGAGTAACCCGCGATTTTATTTTCTTTTCTGTTCTTTTACGAGTACAACATACACATCAAAATAAAAAAAATCTACATTTAATTTTCAATCATTCACAATATATTTAATCTTTAGTTATTAAATCTATATTAAAAGGCGAAAGCATTTCATGCGCTTTAGTAATTTATGTAAGTACCATATTGTTAAAGTGAGTAACATGAATGAATTAATTAATTATAAGTACCACAACGATAGTTTAAACATGTAAGGCTACTTTACACAATTTGAATTGAAAGTTAACATTCATTTTTTTGAGTTAACATTAATAACATCAACAACATTAATTTAAATGCTATATAAAAAAGTTTGCAATGTGCAAAACAATATAAAAACAAATGGAATTGATAATGAATGAAGAGATTTCATTAATAATTTATTCTCAAAATGTAATCGAATATTTACGTAGTTTGGTTTCCATTTTTAAAACCTTTATACCTACATATTATGTAGACGACATATGTACCTGCTGTTTGTTTTGTTACACAACTTACAGTTGTTTTGAAACTATACAGCACTGGAATACAATATTTTAATATAATTCCATAAGTCGGATTCTGTTTGACAGTAAAAACAATTCTCAAATTTAGCTTTGATCCTTGTTTACTGAGCTTATTACTCAAAAGTGTTTCTTAGAATTACCTATCAAATAAAAATAAAGTAGGTACTTCAGTTGGAAACTTTTTTCTATGGCTCCTTCTTCAAATAGAGTGAATGAACCGACAATAATAAATGCTCTTATTAAGTTTTCAAATGGGCTCATCAATAGTACTCGACGATATCTGAGAACGTAAAAGGGATACCAAGATTTATTCCACTTTCCTTCCGTTCGTTCGCACTTTGTTGCCAATAGGTATGGAAATTCACCCTTTTAAGTGAGCCCTTTTGAAGTCTACTCCCTTTAGATAAGATATCAATGTAAATTCGAAAGGTATCTTGGGAAATAAAATCTATTAGCACCTTCTTAAATTAGTTTAGAGGATAGTGAGATATTCCCTATGAGAAATGAACTAGGTGTAGTCCCATGACTCGACGGTTTCCAAGCAAGCCTTACATAATAATTAATCACATGCAAAATAGTTTACGATGATCAACTAGTCGCTATTTAATGGATGAAGTGCTAAATGATATATCGTGTAAAACCAAAATAAAAGTTAAAAGGAAAGGGAAAAATAAATTAATGAGGATAAAAAACAAAGCTGATTAAACATTGGTTTATTGTAAAATTAATAAAATATACGTAACAAAAATAAAACAATAAAAATTCCATCCAAATCCACATTATATCTTAGGACATCTTCTCTTAAATGCATAAAGTCCATTCCGGTAAGCAAATTCGTTGTAGGTCTATCCAGATTGGAATCCCTGGGCCTCTTCATACCGTGAGTCTATTGGGAAATAAAAATATCTGATCAAATATGGATTTGGAAACTGTTAAAGGATGCATCATATACTTTTATGCGGGGACAAGCGTGCAGTTAAGCGCTCCGTAAACACAACTTTATGATTTCAATTTTCTTTCAGAAAAGGGTACTATTTAATACGACTACATTTAGAGGTATACTCACATAAAATTTGTCTTAGTTTACTTTACATAATCACGATTTTATATTAATTATATAGGTACTAAGTTAGTACCCTTTACAATTTATTTTTATATCGATATTAAAATATTTCATGTACTTTTTTATGTAACATGACTGTAGCAAATAAAAAACCTTTCCCTTCAATGGAAAGTTCTTTAAACGACTACCGTAAACATTTCAACTTTAATAGTAATTTGTCTATCAAAAGGCTATTAGAACAAAGGAGATACTAAATTGTTTTCACTGCATTCGAAGATTTTATATTCTTATTTCTTCCAATGTTACTTTACTTCAAGTGAAGTTTCTTGGAAATTTTATTCGTTCATAAATTATTTAAATTGGTACTTGTGTTGTATTGAATCGTGACTTTTGTTCGCTTTGGAAACGAAACCTCGTATTCTGCAAGTCAGTGCTTTATTATCAGACGTCAATGACACTACATATTCTTGCAAGGGTACGGTAACAACCCACTTCGATTTCTTTGTATTGGATTTTGTAAGTATCGGAAAAACGTAGACAGTATCGATATTTGGTCATTTTTATGTACATTTGATAAAATGGACATCAGAAAAGGCAGTTTTACTGAATCAATCGTTGATTTATTTTCGCTATGATATAACTTTGTAATATTTATTTTCTGACTTATTAATCAGACAGTTTAAAACTTTTACTGACTAATGTTTATTTTAGTCAAGACATTACGTTTTGTTTACTTTGAACTATAAAAAACTACAACAATACTCTATACCTACAAAAGAGTCGTTTAAAAATACGAATTAACGTTTCGAATATAGAATAATGTATGTACTGAACCTCTGTGGTTAATCCTTAGTTCCAAGGTTCCAATTACCTTATATCGTATCTTGCTTCACCTGCTTATTAATCGATCCATGAATCAAGGGTCGTTTGGAATATTTACCCCAATTTGATACAAAACTCAGTGCCCATGAAGTTTCGTGGTTCAATTAATGAAATGGTGGCCAATAAAACCCTTTGTGTCTTTTGTGATGGAAGTTTAATTATCCCATACTGATTTAGAATTAGTATTATTATTTGTGGCCAGAGTTACTGCGTGCAAGAGACCTCGCTGTGTTCATTATTTTCCACATGCAGAGATAATGGTTTTGGTTTTAATGGATCTCCTTACCGTATGCTTTCTGTTCGTGACCGAGGAGACCAGTCCTTGGAGTAGGAAGCTCCTCTCCTCCTTCCTCCTCCGATGGTCCTCCCAGTCTTCCACCTTTCGACGTGGTATCTGATTGCATGCCGTACTTCTGTGTTCATGAAGCAGTAGAACAAAGCCACTAAGAAACCCTGAAAGAGGAACATTTTACATTCAAATATTAAATCACCATCATTTAATTTACTTTAACAATATAAAGATAATTTTAAATGAAAGGTCGATTTGCAGATATTACGTTTTTATTGAAAATAAATTAACAATTACAATCGTAATTGAAATACTTTGAAGTCGGAATCGAATCGTTTTCATTAATGTTCCTACGATGTCGAATATTATGTTTGTTTTCGTACGTGAATCGGTTTTTATTTGTTCTCATAATTTGTTTATTGGATGAACACGATTAATCAAAACGGTGTATGTAAATAACATGATGGAATGTAATGTTTTATCGAAAAAAGATGAAATTGTGTAGACAGGGTAATTTATCTTTATTGGTAAAAGGTCAAACCTAAATAAGGCATAAAGTAGAAGTATAGAATTTCACTCTACTTTACTTATTTTATTACTTTTAGTAGTTTTTATTGTAACATTGTACATCTTTCGAAATAAGAACTACATTACGCCTTAGCCATTATAGTCAGAATTTTAATTAGATTCCAGCAGTGCTAGCCAAATGCCATTTAGCGCTTGTCTACATGTAGAATAGAAAACCAAATTATATGGAATTGACGTAAATTTTGACACTTGTCAGTGTCATCCCCATACATTTTGATTTCTACTCTCTCTGTAGACAAGCGCTAAAGTGGTTTTTGGCTAGAGGCCCTGATTTGACAATAGCTAGCTACTGTCATTTTGTGAAATAATGATACCACATATAATAGTGTAGTGATGAACACAAAAATCGATAAACAATCAGTGTGTGTGTTTTATAATAAATGTTACAAGAAAGTGACAGAATAGCGATAGCGATGACGACGAAAATTTATAAAATAACTTATTACCATAATACATCTATCTGTTTTATTTGTCATGTTCCTTTATGGTTACATTTTTTTATTTATTTCACACACAATTATAAAAGAAAAGTCTCAGATCGTTAATTAATCGTCAAAACTAAATTATCAGAAATATTTAATTTCCTGATATATTTAGTTTACGAGAGTAAAATTATAAACGAGAAGAATCGATCCAGAAATATTCCATTTCCATATCGAATAATTTCGCAACGTCACTATTTAGTACTTGTCATAACGTTGCAACACTGAAATTGTCAAATCTGGAATCGAATTAAAATTCCGAGTATGGACAAAATTTCTATACAGTTGATAACTAATCGATTGGTAACGTATTACCAATCGATTGCAGTTTAATTGAAGTATCAGTTAAACTGTGCCATTATCTTAGCTAGAACTAATAAATTTCGTAGTAAAAACTTAATAAAACGCCAATATGGCGGACAGTACACACACCTACACATCAAGTTATACAAAACCAGTATAAATTGACCTTCAAATGCGCGGAAACATCATAGAAAGTAAGACCATGATAAACAGGTTATTTGTATGTGTACATTAATCCATCGCAGTTTGAAAAGCGAGCGTGACTGAGCGGGAACATGCAGGCGTAAAGTTTGAAACTTCATTACGAGCCTGTACTTGGCAGAACTTCAGACCAACGTCTGATTGTTCAGAAGAGGCTTCGTGTTTCGAAGTCAAAGGGAAACAGTTCCCGAACAAACAGTTATATAGAACGTAAGCAGCCTCAAGTGATCTTGTGGTTTCCAAAGACGATTTACAACGGGTTTGTGGCAGTTGAGGGGTGTTACTCGTTGCTAGACGCGTTTGAGAATGACTGGCTGATTGTAGAATCTAGAAATTGGTTTAAGAATGTGACAAACTAAAAGAATGATTAGTGGACATACATTCTAAATGCTTTAGTATCTATTATAGTTTACTTTATTTGAAAGGAAATTAATAAAAAATCTGGTATTATTTCGATACTTATTATTTAGATTATTTTATTGCTTCCATACTTACATTATGAACCCTAAAATGAAAACTTAAATTCATATGTGTAAGACAGTTTCGATTGCAAAATTTCATTGATCGTGAAAGTAGCTTCGTCTTATCTATGTGGACACAATACATGATTTTATAAATAAAACCAACAGTCCAACCAGAAAAGTCATTTGTCAAACAAAACACGTCCATAAAGACGTTTACATTAAGAACATTTTTCATTTGTATTTAGTAAAAAAAGTGTTTCGATTTTTAAATACCGGCAAACTATTTTATAAATATGAACCAACAATATAACCATAACACCTATCAAACAAAACACATCTGTAAAAACATTAGTATTAAGGTTCTTTTTCACTTGCACTAATTTTACCTGTGTTGAAAGCATGAGTGCTCGCGTGTAGTCGAAGGCGTGTGCGAACCAGGAATCGTCATTGGGCCCACACAGCACCAGCAGGTTGGTGATGCCCAGCAGTGGGATCAGGACTAGAAGTGCCTTCGTTGCTTTCCGATACTGCTCTGTCTCCAACGTGTTTGCAGACCGCAGTTTTGTGATTAATACCTGATGGAATTTGAGTTTTAGTAACTATGAAATAAAGTAAAAAATTACTAAAGAAGCATCGAACAAACCTAATATTTTTAACTGATTCATTTTAAAATCATTCTTTAGAATATTTTTCTTTTAATTCTTTGAATGTTCTCAGTCCAAGAAAACCTGCACTTTTTTTTTGAGAGGGGGAAACTCATCCAATCGCTTCTGTCGCCCGGGAGAGGCCAGAGGGAGTGTCAGACTCTTACTGACTAAAAACCACCCCGTTCCTACTCCTGCACTTCGAGCCGGAGCCACGCCATCTCGTTAAGTCCTCCGCGTCTCCGTACAAGAAAAATATTGTCACACATTCAATGGGAACGTATTCAATCTATCTTAAATTTCTCTTATAACGTAGGTACCTATCAGTTAAGACACAATATCAGATTAAGAATTATATCTTTTAAAAACGAAGATCAAATATTTTCCTTTATTTTTTGAAAAATACTTTTAAATCTAAAAGGGACACGAGAAGAAAATTGATATTGTCAATTAATTTCAATTACGTTCCGCTATTCTAATTTCCCAAGGGAGGTTTAACTTGTGCCGGGTCATTCTACAAATTAATTTAACCCGTAACCAATCCACTGGAATAAATCTTATGGATTTTTAAAACGAACAAAATTGATTCCGAACTTGATTTGTAGGAAAATTTATCTAGAGATTAGTTTCGTAAAATCCAAATCCAATCTGTACTAATATAATAAAGCTGTCGACGTTTTGTTTGGTTCAACGCACTAATCTCTGGAACTAGGAGATCGAATGAAAAAATGATTTTGTTTGAAATATTTAATCTTTAAGGTCGATTAGACACGACATTTGAGAATCAAGTAGGAGATAAAATGTTCGAATAACTAATATGTTTTTGGAATTAATATTTTTTATATTTAACCTAACCAATTTGAAGTCGCGTTTAACTATAGTTCTGCCAAAACAAATTCTTAGTAAAAAGACAGAGATGCACGATATCTAAGTACAACTAAAAATTCAGTAGCATTTCAATATTCAGGCGTTATCTTCTTATTTTCATGACTGTTGTTGTGGTTTTGCTATTACGAAACCTTAAAGTTTGAATGGTAGAATACTAAGTGCTTTAGTTTTTCTTTAGTGTGACTCACCCACATAATCCTAATGAGGAAGAAGAGGTTGAGGGCGAGCCCAGCGAGTGCTGGAGCTTTATGGATCCAATCCACCTGGTGCTCCGACATCCAAATACACATCTTAGCCTCACCTGCCAGGGCAAGCTGCAAATAAAAATAAATTATATACCATGGACTTAAGACATGTTTTACAATAAGTACTGCTTATTTAGAAGATTTTTCTTCTAATACTTTGATATACTATAAACAATTTAAATGGCAGTTAGATATAAAACTATTTTAAATAATAAGAATATTATAAATCTGCACACTATCAAGTTTTAAGGTCTTTCGCTTAAACCCGGCAGTAAAATGTACATAAAGTGATAGTAAACACGTTATGCTAATGTGCAACTTTACTGCCGTACGGAGATTCTTAAATATGCAAGACGCTATAACGACCTTTATTGCGCTGCAAATAGAGTTGGTTTAGCTATAAAATGAAATTGGCTGCCCTTTTCAAATTTCTCGCGGCCATGATGGGGTAATTGACCTTGGATTCGCGCTGGATTGGAAGCTTTGCAATATCTGTCGATGGTATCTTTGTAACGAACAAATTGAGATTATCTTGTGTTAATAATGCTGTTAAAGGGAAAGTTTTCTAAGTAAATAATTTACAAATAGTCATCCAGACTTATAAACAGGCTCTAGTGGGCTATACTCTTTACTTACCTCTATTGTTACACCCTCTAATTTCGATACATAGATAGATACATCTATAATGCCTGTAGTCCACTAGTTGATGACAAATAAATAGGTAAAGGTTAAATTAATTAGTAGAATAGGAACAAATAGAGAAACAGAAAATAGTTTATATTTCTATATTAATAATTCTATATTTGTAACGTAAATCAAAATATTCGTATGATAAATCCAAAACTTTTCTTGTAGAAGAAAATGCAAGGAGGAACTCGATAGTTATTATTAGTATTCTTTTTTATACTTGATAGTTCGACGTTTGGCCACCATCTTGTCTGGTAAGCAATGATGTGGCCGACGATGGAGCACGCCTACCTATGAGCAACCTGTTTACTTGGGACTTGAAGACATCCAAGTTATATTTGTCGGGAAACACAGATTCCGGCAAGGAAGCTTAACGCGAAATGCTTCGTGCGAATGACTGGAATGTCCAGCACATTAGGGTCTGGTAGTATGATGGTGAATCGGATTAGGGGAATTTTTTTTTAAGCGGGTAACACCGTCGAATGACTGCTCCCGCTCGGGTGAGGCGGGAGGGAGTGTCACACTCTTACTGACTAAAAACCACCCCGTTTCTACTCCTGCACGTCGAGCCAGAGCCCCGGTAAGGTTGTGTAATGATTCTATTTCTTAGTACATTATATTATGTTTTTATAATAACTATCGTCAGACATACTAAATTAGGTAAAAACGCAGGTTACTCACGTGAATATACTGAGAAAACTCTACTAGTTTCGAACCACAGAGTGAGCTGCGCGACGTCGCCGCGACCGCGCATGCTGCTCATGAGGAAGAACCCCTCTGTGGTTCGAAACTAGTAGAGCTTTTCTCAGTATATTCACGTGAGTAACCCGCGTTTTTACTTAATACATTATATTATACTCAAAAATAGGTAGTTAGAGTTACTCACCCCATCAGCAGGGTTGGAAGGCACGATGTTGACGAAGCACCTGCATATAACCCATATTGTTAGGAACACCGCCGGTGCACCTGCGGACAACAAATATTACTATTTACTTGTTCTTTTTTCTTGTTTATTTATACGCCAGCATTTTCCTTACTACAAACGTATGTCATGTTAGGTAGGTAAAGGTAAAATACAATGTAACACCTATTTTTCATCTGTTACTTCGTAAGAAGTAAATTAATAAATAGGTGGTAAAACAATAGATGCTGACAGGGTATAAAAGGGTATAATTGTCCGACCCAGGAATCGAACCCGAGACCCCTTGCCCGGCAGTCGCAATTGCGACCACTTGGCCAACGAGGCAGATTTTTCAGTCTTATTCAAAAAATAATCTTCCTTAAAATGAAATAATTAGGTACCTATACTACAGTATTAAGAAATATCCAATTGTTTCAAACTATTTTAAGTTAAGTACCGCTCAATACTTCGAAATTAATATCAAAGGAATCGATTGGAATTATTTCTGATGAACTTGCAGTTAAGTTTTAACAAGCGAAACGAAGATCAATTACTTCGAGCTTGTAATTTAGTTCAATCATCGAAGTGTGTGGAAATAAACTTAGTTCCATTGCAGTTGCAAAGTGAATCGGAGTGCAAAGTGTTCAACGAGAGAGGAAATGGATTGTTTGGTGAAGAAACAATCGTAGCAGTCTTGAAACAGAGTTCAAATTAGAGAATTGTCGTTTCGTTACTACATATTATTCTAAGGGCCGATTTTTCAATCATCAGTTATTTCATAACTGTAGAATAAAATTGACAGTGGACAGGTTTTCTTATGGAAAAATTGTTAAATATGCAAAGTTATTCATTTGATAAAATTTAACTGAGCATTGAGAAAAGTATACATACGGTTGAATTGAGAACCTCCTCCTTTTTTGCAGTCGGTTAAAAATGGGCCCTAAGAAATTACAATGTTGGTACTTAATACATACAAATACAACTGCTGATTATTTGATTTTGTGTTTGTTTATTTATGAATTTCTAGATATAAGCTTCCAATCACTATCTGTTAAATTAAACTGACTTGGCATCTATGATAGGTGGTGATGTATAGTCAAAGGTCAAAAGTCCACTGCCACCGTGAGTGACGTTCACACGGCAATGCGTAATTTCATATCAATGTGCATAAAAACGCGTGCGTACGCATAAACACACGCACGCGTACGCACACGGATAAAAATATGTGCATGTGTGTATAAGCGCTGCAGCGCAACCGACAGTAGTTTCACGGTGGCATCGTACATAGTTAGGACGCCGAAGTTTCGTACTTAAAATAATACTAGCCTCTGCGAGCGGCTTTACCCTCGTTCCCGGGAAATAAAAGTAGCTTATATGTTATTCCAGATCATGATCTACCCCTGGTCCAAATTTCATCTTGATCCCTTCAGCCGTTGTGACGTAAAGGAGTAACAAACAAACTAACATACAAAATTCCATAATATTAGTAGAATCAATAAATTACACATAACATTAATCTATTTCAGAGCATTCTAAAGCATAATAAAACATAACATAACATCGTGCCTTTTATCCCAAGGGGTAGGCAGAGGTGCACATTACGGCACTTATTGCCACTGTATAATATAACACCCACTTTTCACTATTAAAGAGTCCCATGTAAAAGGGGGATGAGCCTATTGAATACCGGACACAATTCCAGACTCCGTGCTACTACTGAGAATTTTTAAAATCTCAGTAAAACTTTGCCCGACCCGGGTAATAAGACCCCTTGCCCGGCAGTCGCACTTGCAAACACTCGGCCTATAAGGCACAATAAAGTATAATAGAAAACTTACCCCATCCTATGGTAGTGTACACCTTCAGTTTAATATTTTCTGCGGTGAACGTTTCCACCACCAGCATGTACAGGTACAAGCCTGAAATGATTCAGTAATGATAAACAAACGAGTTCGGTACATACCTACGTGTCTGATAACAAACCTATTTATAAATCCTCTTACATAATTATGTATTGTAATTTTATGTATAGCCCACTACATGTTGAGTAAGTTGTAGGTCGATTTTGACACTTTTTGTCGTGAGTATTGATTGTTTTTTGTTAATCAATTATGTTTTTTATGTCAACATTGTATTTACAAATGTACTGGATTTGTAATCTTTGAAAGACTTGTAATGAAAACGGTAAATAGCTATTGTATAATAATTCATTCAGTAGTTTCGGATATTTCTCATTCAGACAGACCAAAAGTGCAGAATGACAATAATTATCTTTTCTAATAATCTAAACCGGAACGGACATTTATTATATTCGAATAGAAGTTAGTATTCGATACTGATTGGACTTTGCTTCCAACTTTACAGATCAACTGAGAAATCCGACCAAGATATGTATATTCCCCATAGACTCAGTTGTGAATTTAGATCCGGAGATTGCTCGTCGTCAATTGCCTAGGGAACAAAGCGACAGGAAGACGTCTATAAGATTTATACGTCGATTTATATTTCATAGCAGTCTCATAAATATGTAAAAGTTTGTATGCAGAGAGAAGTTTCTAGAACCATTGGTTCGATTTTTTTATGTCTGTCACAATTAAGAAGCTGCTTTATGGCTAATTGACATAGGATATATAGTATCACGTTACGGCCATTAGAAGTTTATGAGACACTAGCTGTTGCCCGTGACTTCGTGCGCGTAGAACATGAATTTTAGAATATAACTTTTATTTTTGTTTCAATTTGCCTAAATAAGAGTAAATGTTACTATGTTACTCCTTAGTACATCAGCTACCTGCCCATAAGTCTTCCAAAATCGGTCCAGCCATTCCAGAGATTAGCCAGTACAAACAGACAAGCAGACAGACAGAGGTATCGTATATTTATTCATATGTATGTAGTAAAAAGCGGTTATTTTAATATTACAAATGGATACTCCAATTTAATTTATCTGTATAGAGGTTCTAAAAATTAAAATGTTTTAAACAGAGACACTACAAATTGTCTGGGTGTCAATAAAGAATCGGAAGTGACGAATAAAACAATTATAATTTCTAATCTAGTTTCCTTATAAAATAGCTTACCTTCTACAAGCATCCAGAAGAAATTAGTGAGGTAAAAGTAGTGCATACATATGACCAGAATCGTACACGAGGTTTGATCTTGTTGGGCCTCATCGGACCAATTCTGTGAACAAAATAAAACTGATTAGTCTTTTACCCGTTAAACAGAGTTCATTACAATATTATAGGTATTTAAATTATTGTTTTGGCGATGGACCATAGCTCAATAACTGCCTCGTTGGCCGAGTGGTCGTATGTGCGACTGCCGGGCAAGGGGTCTCGGGTTCGATTCCCGAGTGGGGCAAAGTATTACTGGGTTTTTAAATTTTCTCACTAGTAGCACGGAGTATGGAATTGTGCCCGGTATTTGGCAATAGGCTCACCCCCTATTACATGGGACTCATAACATAAATAGTGAAAAGTGGGTGTTACACTGTACAGTGGTATAATGTGCACCTCTGCCTACCTCTTAATAACTTACAATACACTGCTAGGTACTTTTGGCGTCATAACATCGATAAAAATTTTAATCTGCCGTCTTCAATGTAAATATTATTTCATAATATTTATCTCGTAAAATGTCTATACATGAAATATATGAGATGACCAACGTTTTACGACCTATGAGACGACAGATTGGACATATTTTGTTTAATGAGGGTCGTAGACAATTTAGATTGAATATTATATTAGTAGACATTATGCGAAAACATATTTTGGTCATCCATAATGTTTATTAAAAATAATTAAACTTACTAGAAATGTATTGGAATACAAAACAATCGTATCTAAGTAAAATAAAGATAGAGGAGTTTTTCGTTGATATAATTATAGAGAGACATAATGTATTTTTATCGTTTAGCATAGTTTTGTTTGAAATGATATTACAGAAATGATATTACTATTCCAAAAACCCTTTCTTAAATGTTATTTTAAATGTCATTCAAAATAATTGGATTTGGAAAGCCAAATAACTAAAACCCACATTCAGAAACACAGAAAATAAGTAGATTAAAACGTGAACTTTATAGACGTAATCTGGATGTGTTCAAGCACATTTATGTGAGATTTAAACTGGCCATTAATCGCTTTAAGTGTCCTATTAATTACTCGTAGTTAACTGTAGCTTCATTTTAACAAAAAGTAGTGGGCAATTTCCTACGAGCGGCTCGACTTACTGAGATAAACACTGTAACTCGTTTTACTAAGGTGCAAAATACGAATACGAATGCAAATTTTAAAATCTGGTAAATGTCCGGATTTCATGTATAAACGGCTGTCTTAGGTCTAATTAGTTAGGCATAGATTCTCATGTTCGATGAAGACTATTATATTTTTTATTCCTCCTTCCATAATTTATGAAAATGTTCCACAGATAACGTAAATAAATATATTATGTACGAGTGTACATTTACATAAAGCTTAAATTGTTTGCCGTTAGATTGCGATGATTGACATTAGATACACCTTTTTGTATGAATGAAAAATTAAAATGCACTGTGTGTAATGCAATTTGCGGTAACAATTATGGTGTAAAACATACAATATTGTGTGACTATAGCTAACCACAAATGCGACAATTTCCACATACTGCAATTTCCTTCAAACATTACTCACAGGACAAATATTCTACACGAAATATCCAGCTAGCAGACAAAACCTCGTATGGAACGAGGAATGACACATTTTTTCAATACCGAGTCGGCTGTTACGGATTCAATTACGTTGTGAGGGATGAAAAGCTAGTTGTCATGATGAAGGGTGCTCCAGATTAATTAATGGTATTGTCGCGACCCTTGTCCACGCATGATTCCTTATTAAATGAGCAGCTTTTGTGTCTTTACGCATTTTTTTTGCTTTCGTAAATTAAACACAGTTTTATTAATCTTTGCTCGTCAGGTGGTGGTTTTATTGTGACAATTATTTAGTACTACGTAGGAAGTAGGAGATATGAGAAGCTGTATTTTACCTTGTAACAATATAGTTTGGATTTTCTATTTAGTTCTACTTATGACGTCAAACGTAAGAAATATTCTCAAACCTTTTACTAGGAATATGATTCCTGGATCATAAAATTGTCCAGAAAATGATTTGTTAGATTGAAAGTTTAGAAACCAGTACATTTACTAGATAACCTTGCGAATGTTCCTCTGAATATATTCATGTTTTGATATAAACAATGTTTTATGTTTATGTCTGTGTGCATATCAATGTACAGTCATAGAGTAATGTTTGTTTAAACTGAACAAAATATTATGACACGTTTATTTACAAACCAAACAAAAATGCACTACTTTAATACAACTTCAACTCGCAAACTTTAAAGTCAAAATGTTTTGATCTGATATTATTTATTACTAATAAAATCTAGCGTGTTTGCTTTGTTATTTTATGAAATATTTCCACCGAATATTTTCCTTTCAGCTACGTTTTTAGATCTAGATTTAAGATAAAGTGAACGAAATAACCGGCGTGCATTTTCAAGATGGCGATTGAAGCACAGATAATAAAAGTAAGTTCAAAGACTTTGAGACGTGAATGAAATCCTTCGTAAAGCAGTAAATTTTAAATTAACGACGGTTAAATTTGTAACTCTATAATCAAAGCTTTGAGTTTTGATTCTCTTTTATCTACAACATGTATTTTTATTCATGACCGGTTCATTAGTCGCCAAAGGGATAGCAGCTCATTTTGAAATACTTCCTTCGGGAACCTACTAGAATATTCTACACAATGTATGAAGCTATGTCGGTAACCAACTTCCTCGTTTGAGCGAACTCTTGTGTATAGTTCTTTTGCATTTTTTATGTATACAAACTACCTATGTAGGTACTCGTGCCAAGAAGAACGTTTTATCACTATTCTCAAATGAGTGAATTTGCATATTTAAGCAGTTGGTGGTAGAATAATTAACTTTGTATTGCGAAACTTGTAAAGTATACAAAATAATATTTGTTTTGACAATGTGCTGAAGGTTTGTTCGTGGAGTAATGTTTGTGTTTGGATGCTAACTTGGAACGAGATGAAATGCGAGGAAATAATAAGCGATACAAAATAAGAGTTTCTTTGACCTATTGAAGTGAATAAACTTATACATTTCGTTCTGTACGTTCGATGTTGAACGATTTGTTAACACCAAAACAAAATGTAAGTAGAAATAGAGTGCAGTATACATAAATGGAAATGTACCTAATAAATGTTGTAAAGGTTGCAATAAAACGAAAGACCGTATCATGTACCTACTTATAAATTTTAAAGAAAAAGGTGTCATTTATTCATAATCAAAATAGCAGGTACTAGATCACAAAAACCAAAGCGTTATTAATCCCAAAGAAAGAAAAGAAATGATGTATGTTGACATTTACGAGTTCAAAAACCATTTCATTTCTAAAATAATCTCGTCTATATTTAGAATGAGATTGAATTAAAATATCGTAGCAAAATAAAACAATAACAATACAAACAGTGGAGGACAAACAGCTCGCAGGGGAGTGTAAATAATTCTAGTTGGAAAGTTGACTTAATATCAAACATTCATTCAAAATTAATTTTAGTTTGTGCATGAAACCCTGAGTGAAATAGAGAATTATATTAGTAAAGTATTCAGTGTTTGTTCATGACTTTTCTCTCTAAAAAGTTGTGGAGTGCAGGTGTTGAAAACTTTTAATATCTTTTCATATTTCGGTTTATTGATAATAATAATTTAGTATTTTATAATCTGGTGTTACTTGAAATAATAAAGAAGAAACATTATTTCTACTATTTATTTGTCACCTTTGCCATAACACTTCCACTCAAAATTATACCAGTTTACTGTTTTCTAGATTTCTCGTCATGGCAAAGACAAATCAAAGTTATTGTTTTAAATCACAGAGATATTTTGCGTGGATCAATCCAATATCTATGTTACTGGCCGCCAATATTTCATTGCCGATATATTAGGTATCAGTACTATAAAGAATCTGTTCCAATATAAGAAAAATGTATTTTATGACTACGATTATTAATCTTTACTGAGACAGTTTGTTTATCTTAATATTGTAACGATTGAGGTTTAACAGCGTGTTATGATAACTCTTACAAATGTTATTTATTTGATGTAACGTAATTTGCCCTCTCTAACCCAATTTCTTTGATACAGATATTATTAAGATCATAAATCGTTCTATTTTGTTATCTTGGATTAGATTGTTAAATTGTAACATAAATGAATTATCAATATAATTTTCATCTTAGGTTTTATTATGAAAATAAATATTATATTGTCTGTGATCTATTTTGCATTTCATTTATATTTTCTAGTCCATTGAACTTTGAATTGCTTATTATCTAAAAGTGGTGTTTGACACATCGCCTTTTTAGCATTTATGACAAATACATCGAGTAACTAATACTATATTTAAAAGGCTTGAGATAGATTGCTTGCGTTTGAGGTGTAAGTTTATAATACAAACTGAATGTATGATGATTGATGATAAATGTGGAATATATACTACAATAATCATGTAAAAAATATTTAAATTAAACAAACCTGTCAGAATTCTACGCCGTAAATCCATTTTCCTAGCACATCTGACGTCGTGTAAATCAAAGTCCATCCTAATACTAGCTGCTGTGTTAAGCTATTGTCAACAATCACTATCTACAAGATAATAAAATATAGATAACAGTTCTTACTTGTAAAGCTAAGTTTAAGATCCAGCTGCAGGCAGACAGAATATACGTCGACATGAGGTTGGTATGTATCGTGTTCCTTAGACATCGCAGGTCCCTGCAAATGAGAGAATAATATTAACACAAGCTTCAAACGCGGTTCAAAGATCATGACACATTAGGCGAGCACCGTAACGGCACGGCTCCAACCCAGCTACTAAGTTGTCATTACATTTCATAGATGTCATGGTGGCTCGCAGGTTAAAGACGCCTGCTTCTCGTGGACGAAGGCGTGAGTTCGGAACCTACCAACGCACGGCAAGTACTAATGTGACTTTTTCCGAGTTATATTATGATATTTGACTAAATTGTGTATGACTGCGATGGTATGGTATTAATGGTGTATGGTATAGATATTAATTAATTGTATGGATCTCTTACATGTCCGAAATTAATGATTTTTATTTTTTGTTTCTTTATTTATATGTACTTTCTAAGATTGTTTAGACACCATTGACATACGGTGAAGGAAAACATCGTGAGGTAAACGTGGGCTTATATTACAATTTCTAATTATAAGTTTGCAATCGCCAATTCGCATTTAGCAAGCGTGGTGATTAATGCTCAAACTTTCTCCGTGTGAGAGGCCTTTGGTCAGCAGTACTTATAGGCACATTTTTTTTTTATTTCAATATTAAATCGTACGTCGTATGATTTCATAACGTTAATACTAAACGCCAACAGTGGGTTGTCAGAGCGCGGGCCGCATGCTTACAGCCCGCCCCGATTTTAAGAGCGCCCCGTGCCGCAGCCGTGTCGTGGCCGTGCCGGTACAGTGTGTCACGGACTTTATAGAACATATGAACGTCTTTTGAATAAATATCTCGAGTAATTATAATTGCTGGCGCTTTGTTGAGTTTCTCAAACAAGTGATGTAAAGATATACACCCGCATAATTTGTTAGGACTGGATGGAGCTGACGATAATAAGATGTTCTTGTACAAACTAAATATGGACGATTACTTTGAGTTATAAATAGGATACGCGAATACTTCTCCTGAACTCTCTTAATTAGTTAGAAAGTAATATGTATTTACTTAGAAGTTCATGTGAATATTGTCTCGTCCGTCAAGACGTATCTAATTCGAGTAATTTGCGAGATTTTGATACTATTTTAATAACAATTTTACGCTAATATGCATTAGGTTCCTTATTAAACTCTCGTTTTCGGAAAGGTATTATCTAGATTTTGAGCCAAAATTCTTATCCTGGAATGTCAAAGTAAAATTTATTAATTCCTGTCAATATGGTCGTGACGTAATACAATCAACAATAGTAAATAATGCAATTGGTGATCCGTACCACACTGTTTTATTTTTTTTCGCAGCGATAATAGTTGCTATGATAATAATTTAGCTTGTCCATTAATTTAAATACATTTTTATAACTTTTCTGAGTCAAGTCCATTCAGTTTCTGTGAACATGAAGGTTAGACACCCAATAACAGTTCGAGTACCTACGAGTGACATCACAATTATCTCGTCACCAACTTTCAACTCACACGCCTATAGCCTTGGTAAATTACTACTACAGTGCCCTCTAGCTCTAATTTGTGTACTGCTTAACTTGCTAATGACATTTAGGCACATTCAAGCCTCATTTTGTGGCTCAAAGGCGTGTAATTAGTACTTCGGGATTAGAATTACTTAGAGTCCAAACTCCCGCAAATGAGACTGTTTTGTGAAACTCACAAACTTAACAATGTTGAGTTCTTTTGTCTAAGAAAAGTTTGTGCTGTGGTTTTAAGTAGTACAGCTATAATGACACCACAATTATGATATTTTTACGTGCCTATTTCTTGCAATATAAACACAGATAATATGTAGCTATTTAATGAAATGTCAAATTATTAAATACTTTTTAGTATTTTTTACTGCACAGGGGAATTTTTTACTGCACCTCTATTTAGAAATTTAATCAAACCAAATTTCTCCACTAATAGCCTACTGCATTTAAAAAAAATGACTGTACTACAAATGAAATATATATATTACAAAAACATGTTACATCGTAAAACAAAAATATTGATGAAAAAGATTTGCACACAAATTGTTCAATATTACAACGGAATTTCCAATATAGGTGACGTTAGGTTAGGTTATGAATTATTAGAATTACAAAATAGGTTAGGTTACGAATTATTATTAGATAGTATAATTGATTTATTTGATGAGCAAATTTAGTGTGCAATTCAGTATCTAGGTGGAAATTTCGAATATTTTGATTGTTAAGATATTAATATGATAATAGGGAATTTACAGTTAAAGTATTAAATATCACCCTTATTAACAGATTTACTGGAATCAATATACCTCTACAATTCAACATATCAATATGTTGACAAAGACATACTAGATTTATTTCGAGTGCATTATTAGAATATCTATCGCTAGTCATGCTAGAAATGTATCACCATTTATCACTATTTATCTATGATCTTTGCAAATCATATCGTACATAGACCGTCAGTGTGAAGTGGCAGCCGGGAGCTAGATAATACAGCTGTAACTTTAGATTCAACATTATGCGCTGTTATGACACGTGTCTGACACAACCAGGCGATGGTTGCATGTTGATGGCTGCTAATTTAATGGAAAGTAGACATATAGTGTAGACACCAACGTAAAATTGAGTTATGTGTTTGTTGCCCTTTTTAAGTATGCCAAATTGTTGAACGAAAATGGATGAATTTTGGTCGAAATATAGATTACTAGCTTTTACCCGCGGCTTCGCTCGCGTCACAAAAGGATAAAAGTAGCCTATGTGACATACCAATACACAGCGCCGTCTATACCAATTCTTTTGTTTTCCCTCTTGTAATATTTTTCCGGGATAAAAAGTACCCTATTATTTAATCCGGACTTCAAAATTTACGTCTGCAAAAATTCAAAGCAATCGGTTTAGTAGTTACGGCGTGAAAGCGGAACAAACAAACTTACTTTCCCATTTATGATATTAAATATAGTATATAGTAAGGATTCTTAGTTAGTTATTATTATTATTCTTAGTTACAAAGCAACACGACGATGAAATACACACGAATAGTTAGTATCCCTTCTTAAGGAATTAGATCTTCTTGATAGAAAGTGTAAACTGTACGTTGAATATTTTTTAACAATAAGCCATGAGGCGTGATCTACAATCGATATCGAAGCCAAAAATATGTTTTTTAGAATTTTTGTCTGTTTGTCTGTATGTATGTCCGTATCAAACTCAAATAGTACTGTATGGATTTACTTCAAATTTTGCATGAATATTACTAATAGGTCGGTTCAACATATTATCACGCTATCACCTACGGGAGACGAGCTGTGAATCGCTATTCCACGCAAACGAAGTCGAGAGCAAAGCTAGTTTTATAATCAATACATAGTATAAAACAAAGTCGCTTTCGCTGTATGTCCGTATGTATGCTTAGATCTTTAAACTACGCAACGGATTTTGATGCGGTTTTTTTTAATAGATAGAGTGATTCTTAAGGAAGGTTTGTATGTATATACATATTGCACCCGTGCGAAGCCGGGGCGGGTCGCTAGTAAAAAATATAATTGTATTGTGGTTTTACATAGCAAAATAATAAAAATACGTTAATAACAAAACAGTTCTTCTTAATCTGAACACGCTGCTATCTAAATTGCATATTCGTTCTTGTAGGGTATTCTCATGAGTAACGAGTGTGCTCAGTTCCAAGTTATAATGGAGTATGTTATAATAGTCCGTAAGTTACAAGCAGTGACAAAGTGCACACTGTTCAACTACTTAGTTCTCAACTTATATTACTTACTAACAATAACTCACTTTTATGCATCTTTAAGATGTGAATAATGTTAAAAGTGGAGAATTATTCTTTGTTATCGTTTAAGAGAATTATAGTTCAGAAGTGCTATAATAATTAGATAGAACATTCTAGGTATACAATTTAATTGGAAAATCTTGTTAGTTGTTGCAATTACAGCAATGTGCTGTTGAACTTAAATAGATTTATTAATTGAGGCTATCAAATATGATGTTAGATTTTTTTTCAAAAACAGCATTATATTTAACCTTGGTAGATAATGTTCGATAAATATGAATATCCTAAAACAGTGTTCTTAAATGTTCTAATAAACATAATTTATTACCAAACAATAAATTAAACACATGCAAAGGACTTTAGTCCTAATGGAAACAATATACGTCGGCCATAATAGTAATTTTACGAATGACATCAGATGTTATTATGATTTGATCGCGTCGTTTGAATGTATGATGTTAGTTAATGGCTGTAATCCATGGCGGAGATGTCTTGCCAAGAGATATTCTCCACGCTAACGCCATTATGTGTAGGATAATGTGACAGCTTCGATTGTGGCACTTTGTAGGATATTGTCTGTTTATTGTAATGAGAAGTGTCTATGTATAAGTTTGGCGTGTACCTCTATAAAAAATATTTTCTATGTAGTGACATTGTACTCATAGTATTATGCATTTTAATCTTAGACGCGCTATGTAGTGAAGGACGGAGTTATATATTTATAAGGGGAAACAAATATGAACATAAATAGGAACAATATTACTCAGAAGCCGAGCTTCTGAAAACCTCACTTGCACGGTGAAACACATCGTAGACGTCTGGTGTTCTGTAACATCATGATATCATTCTGAGGCAAGATTGCCTTACGTTTAAAGTATTTAAAACGAAACCTCGTTCGGCGCTCTGATTGGTTAGTTCATTGGAGCCGGCCAATCACAGCGCCGAACGCATACTCGTTTCGATTACTTTAAATGTAAAACAAACTCGTACTAAGGCCTCTGAGTGCCAAGCACGAATAACTATTGCATAACT